ACCAACTATTCCTCCCACAGCACCCACCACCTATCTGCTGGGTTCGATAATTCGCTGCAGTGGCCACACAGAACTCACAGATTATGGGGTTTATGAGGGAAGCAACAGGCTCCAATTCAAGCTCAGGGAAATGCTCCATCTCTCTCAGCTGGCCGTCTCTCAGCAGTGTGTATCTCTCATGTCTCTCTCACGTCTCTCAGGAGTGTGTTTCTTTCAGCAGCATGTCTTACTCAGCCTGCAGTCAGAGAGACTCCTTCTGCCTCTTGTTGTTGTGTGCTGTCGAGTCGGACCCGACTCATAGCAACCCCTCCTTGGGTTGCCGAGGCAGTATCACTATGGAAGTAGACTGCCCAATCTTCCTTCTGAGGAGTGGCTGGTGGGTTTGAACCGCCGACCTTCTGGTTAGCAGTCAAGTGCCTTAGGCACTACGCTCCCAGAGCTCCTCCTTCTGCCTCTAGGAGGGCTCTTTTTGAGCCTGGCAGAGTGGCCAAGGACAACTAATCCCAACATGAGAATTCTACACACCTGAGAGAGAGCCATCTTCCCAGAAGATTGCTTTGTGTTGCTCCAGGGAGATGACTTTAACAAGCAGCTACTCAGTTACTCACTGCAAAGTGGGAGTTACCAGTACTATGGCTAGAAAAGCCATATCATACAGTTGACTACACCGCAGCTAGATACATGTCTTCCCCTAAAGCTCTTATTGAAGTATTCCACTTCTAGCTCTGGTACTTTGGGTTTCCTGGGTTTGGGAATTTCCATGTGATTGGTGATTTTCATTAACATTGCTAAGGTTGACTGCAGAAATAGTGGGAACAGGATTGAGAAACATCAAAGTAAAGGCCGTCATCCTAGCAGCTGAGTCGATCCTTTGTGAGTTAGCTTGTCATCTTTGTTGTTGTTACATGCTGTTGAGTTGTCTCCGACTCATAGTGACCCCTCCTTGGGTTTCCAAGACAGTATCACTATGGAAGTAGATTGCCCAACCTTCCTTCCGAGGAGTGGCCGGTGGGTTTGAACTGCCAGCCTTCTGATTAGCACTTGACCACAAGAGCTCCCTGTCACCTTTAGAAATGGGAATTTATTACACAATTAAATAGTACATGTTTGAGCATTGAGTATATAGAAGAAGCCAAAGGCTTCTGTCATACTACCAGCAGATTTCCATTTTGACAATAGGTGTTTGCATTATTCTTAGAAGTGCCTATATTGGCATGTATTAAAAAACTCATCACAATACATACATATTGGTAGTTATGCATGGTAGAACAGCATTCAAATTTGCAAACAGGCCTGCAGTGGGTCTCTGAGGTGGGGTTTTGTTTGTCGTGTGGTGCATATTTCCCCAGCCTCTTTCTCTCTCTATTTAATGGGAGGTGGGGAGTTGAGGGCCCCAGAAGGCCAGGCTTGCCTTGGGTTTGGTTGAGATAGTGGATTAATGTGGTAAACAGATACTATTCCTATGGTATCTTCTACACACATTAAAAATAGCACATTTCTGCTGCCAGGGGAAAGGAGCCAGTACTTGCTCCAGTTGTACCAACTAATGGAAAGCCATTTGTTTTTTTTCCTCCACTCTCTAGCTATGTAGATTTGACTAATTATTCGCTCATTCATTGTAGCAAATACAGATAATAAACAAAGAAGTCAACAAACAATTTCACAGTGATACTTCTATGGAATTAATAAAATGAGGGGTATGATAGGGAATAATTAGGAACAATCAATTATCTATAGGCAACAGTTGATCAGTGTGCCCCTGCATAGAGTTGAGCTTGAACAGATGAGAAAATGGTAGGCCCAACAGATACTAACCCATTTGAATCATCTTTCCAGTGATGATGGTGAGTTTGTGAATTTTTATTTGATTAAATGATGTTAGCAACATTAATATTAAAACTAAATAGTTAATGTTTATTGATTCTTTGCTATAGGGTAGGCTTTATATGTATTGTTTCATGTTATTCTCATAAAGACCTGATGTGGTGGGTGCTATTATTATCCCTGTTTATGGTTTAGGAAAGAGGCTTAGAGAGGCCATGGTCTCACCTAGTAATTGCTTAAAGCTGAGACTCATACTTGACCTAGACCTGGCCACGTTCTTAACCAGCTGGCTCTGTCTTGCATGAACAGTAACTGTGGAGTTTGAATTACAACTAAAGCATACTAACATATCCAAACAAAGAGCCCATCCATGACACCAACTGTACAGTGACTAGCCACGTATGTCTCTGCCACCCTCCTCTTTGCCATCAAAGTGTGCACTGATTGAAGGCTTTCTCTCTGTCCTTGCACTGTGCTGGAGTGATATTGGGAGGACTCTTGTAGGCCCAGGTTCATGGCCACTGTGTAGTTGCTCATAAATGAGTCATAGGTTTCTTCTAGCTTCTGGATATTCTAGAGCACATTTTATGATAACATTGCAGAGGCCACTGTGATGGGAGACTTTTATCTGGGTACCTGCACTTGGTTTCTCAAAAATCACAGTTGAAAACTATCTTGCTTGAACACCCTGTTAGGCATGCATGGGCATCTGGGCAGGGGATCTGGGCCAAGCATCAAAAGATTATAACACACGTTTCCATTCCTTGCTAGCATCTGCCCCATTGTATTTCCCCCACATGGTTATTGGAAGGTTCATCTTGGTGTCTACTTAAAAAGTCTTATCAGAGGGGGTCCCAATGGATGTAACTGCAACAGAGGGAGTTTCAGAAGAGGGATTGTTTGAGTACTGTGTGCTTTTGAATGTATTAGATCACTCAAAAGTGCTCTTTCTAGCCAACCCATATGTGGTTCTTTAAGTGACCTGCGTACGTGTATGCTCTTGAGGACTTACCCCCAGAAGCTGAACATCTAAGGCTGTGTCCCAAGACCTGAACTCTAGCCCCTTGGAACTTATATTTTGCTAAGAATAGGAAGAGAGTGAAAGTTTTGGAAAAGAAACAGACTTTGTTATAATCAGGACTGATTTCAAAATTTGACTAAGATTCCTTCTTAATAGGTTTGACTTTCGGTTCACATATTCTCAATAAGAAAATCTAGAAACTGGCAGTATGGCTTTGTGTGCTTTTGTTTTTACTTCCAAAGTTTTGATGTTGTGGACCTATGGGAGGTGACACTGCTTACCTTGCCCCATAGAAACGTTCTTGGACTGATTATGTCAGGCTGAACACTGTTCTTTAGTGTTTTGCTTGCCCTTCAGTCTCTAGAATGGTTGAAGATCTAGAAATGTTAAAAAGGCTGGCAATTTTTGGCTGAGATTAATTTTCTAGTCTCATCATTTATAAGTAAGTGTATGTGTATGGATGGGTTTATATATATGCTTAATGTTTGATGACCAGATTAGCTGTTAGGAGGGTTTTGTGGAGCCACCCTTTGTTGCCTTGAACCAGAACTGTCTGGGTGAGTTACTAAGAAATGAAATGTAGATACTCTGACACTCAAGTGAAGGTTAAGGAGAGAAAGAGAAAGAAATTAGTCTGCTTAGACAGGGGAAAACAATTATTACACAAAACTAAATAGTAACAGTATAACAGTATGTTCTTTCTGGAACATCCAAGACTCATTTATTAAAGCCAAATCTTCATATAGAATATACAGAAAAAAGAAGAAAACAAATCACCAATAATTTTAAAACCTAGAGACAATCATTTGTAACATTTTCTCTAATTCCTTTCATGCTCGTTTTTCTATTTGTTTGCCTAGGTATATATACCTTTCATTTAATACTACTACATATATACCTTGTGAGAAGCTCTGGGTTGGTGCAGTGAGTAAACATTCAGTTGCTAAAGGTTGGGGGTTCAATTCTTTCTCTGTGGGAGAAAGATATAGCAGTCTGCTTCCATAAAGATTACAGCCTTGGATACCCTATAGGGCAGTTCTACTCTGTCCTGTAGGTTCTCTGTGAGTCAGAATTGACTCAGTGGTAATAGGTTTGGTGTATACCCTATATGTTGTATACATACTTTCATTTATATTGTGAGCATTTTCCTTTGTTATTAACATTTCTCAGTTTTTAGTATTGTATGATATAAGTTATAACCATTTCCCAGGAGGCTTTTAAGTTTTCTGTTATTTTTTTGGCTACTACAAATAATCATAATGAATGTGTGTGGGCACCTTAGTATGGTGCTATGTACATGCGCACTTGTCGTTTACCAGTGCCTCCTGGCACTCTGCTTGGTGTTTATAGTTGATCTTATTTTATCCTTAGAATGACACTGTAAGTAGTATCATTGTCCCTGTTTTGTGAGATGGGGAAACAGAGTTGCAATGTCAGATACATACCTGTTGTAGTAACTGAGTTAAGGGCAAAAGTGGACAAAAAACCTAGTGTTGCCTGGTCTGCACCTGGTCTATACCTATGCTGCTCTTTCTACAAAAAAGTGTATCTGCACCTGTTTAATTCCTTAAAAAGAGACACAACAGTGAGAAATCATTGAGCCAAATGGTGTGACCAAGTTGTAGGTCTTTGATGCAGTCTCAGATTATATTATCAGTTAGCTTTCCTAAATCATTTAATTCATTTTCACTTCTACCAGCGGCAAGTGCTTGTCTCCCATGACTTTCGTGAACCTGAGATATTACCACTTAAAATATATTTGCTGATTTAATACATAAAAAGTTTGTCCCAAGGGCTAAGTTTTAAAGGCTGAAATCTTCAAACAATCTTTAATACACCAATTATAGTCAGCCAAATAATTTACCAACTGCGTGTAGGGACCGGATTCTTCTGCTTCCCAGGACATCTTCCTGATGCTGTGCTGGCCTCTTGGTGGCACTTGTTGATTGATCGTTGGCTTCCTACTTCAAACCTGGGGGTTCTCAGAAGTTGCTTTTTGGAAGAGAAATATATTTGCGTTTTAAAGGAGTTGCATATGGTGACCTTTTAAGAACTTAGTTCACATTAACCCTTTGCCCAGGGTGGTTTATAAACAACCTTTAGTTTATAACTCTTTTAGATATTATATCTATAAACCAGTATTTATTTTTTGCAGGCTGGTCTAATTGAAGCCAATGGAGAACTAAAGGTCTTTATAGACCAGAATCTTAGTCCTGGAAAAGGTAAGGAAGCCTATTTTGGAAGCATTGTAAGTCTATTAAGAAATTTACTAAGATTTATATATTTACAAATTCCTTTAATGTTAAAAGTTCCTATTGACTAGTAAAACTTCAATTTAGAAATTTTCCTGTTCTAAGAATCTAATGTAGATGGACTTTTTAATTCTAAAATTAAACACATACACACACATATACGGACATACACGCACATGCATATTCAGTGACTTTGTGACTGCTAACCAGAAGGCTGGCGGTTCAAACCCCACCAGCCACTCCTGGGAAAGAAGATTGGGCAGTCTACTTCCATAAAGATACCACCTTGGAAACCCAAGGAAGGGTCACTATGAATCTAATCGACTTGATGGCAGTGAGGTTTTTTTTTTTTTTTTTTTAAATAGACTATTTGCAAAAATTCAAAATGTTAGAAAAGTATAAAGAAGAAACAAAGATTACTTGTATTCTTTCCATCAAAAGGTAATGAACACTTAACAAATTTGATGTGAGTCCTTCCAGATTTTTCTATGTAGACATTCACAATGCCTTTAAATACAAAACAAGAATTAAAGATAGAATCTTGTTACACACCTCATATATGAACTGAACTTTTTTTTTTAATTAATTGTAATTTGGGTGAAAGTTTACAGAGCACATTCATTTTCCATGCAGCATTTTATACACATTTTGTCTCATGACATTGACTGCAATTCCCTACAAAGTAACAGCTCTCTTCCCACTTCTTCCCCGTAGTTACCTCTTCCCTGTGCCCTTCCCTTCCATGTACTCCTGCCCCACAAGCTGTCTCCTTGTATGTATACTGCTCTTCTGTTCTCCCATGATTGATCATTCTAAGGAGTGTATCTTCCTGATGTAAATGTTCACCCTATATACCTGTCTGTTGTTTGGCTGGAAGGCTTAGGAATGAGTTCAGTTCTGGGCCTGAAGGCTGACTGGGGGTTGTGGTCCCAGGGGTCTCACCAGGCTCTATCAGACCAGCAAACCTGGTCTTTTTTTTTTTTTTTACGATTTTGAGTTTTGTTCTACATTGTTCTTCTCTGCGATCCAGGATCTCCTACACTGATCCCCCTCTGAGTGGTTGACAGTGGTAGCTGGGCACCATCTAGTTCTTTTGGTCTCATGGTCATATAGGCTGGAGATCACATGGACTACCAGTCCCATGAACTAATTGTTTTCATGTGTCTTTGATTTTCTTTATTCTTTGCTCTGGATGAGGAGAGACCCATCGTTGCGTCTAGGTGGCTGTTTGCACGCTTTTAAGATTCTGGTCACTACTCACCAAAGTAGGATGTAGAACAGTGTTTTTGTGTAGTATGCTATGCCAGTTGGGCTTGATGTCCCTTGTGATCATGGTCCTGAGCCCACTGGTCCAACTACTCACTCCCTCTAGGTAGCTCACTATGGCCAGGAGGTCACCACAACCTTGTCCCTTGTGAACTGAACATCTTTCCATGGCAATGTATGTAAAGCCATGTCTTTTTAAATATAGCTCTTGAGTAATTTACATTTTTATGTCATGTCAAGGCCTAGACTTTTGTGCTCTATCCAGGCAGAAGGAGTAGAGAGAAAGATTAAAGCCACGTGTTTTTACTGATTCCTTTGAGTCCCAGTAGTTGATAAAGCATAATTTATTTAACTAATATCATGATATTTCATAGTTTTCACTTCTCACAAACATGACATTGTGGTGAGCATCTTGAACATACATATTTGTGTACATATCTGTTTATTTCCTTCGAATTAATTCTTAGGTGAGAATTGCTGGGTCGAAGGATATGTATAATTAAAATGTTGATGAGAAGTACAGGATTAATTGTAAGGCTGCATTGATTTGGGGTTCTGATAGTTCATGAAAGTTAATTTTAGCATAGCTTGTCATAATATTTTTAAAGGAAAAGCCTGCTTTGTCTTAATAACAATTTTGCTTGCAGAGGATGAGATGAGGTCACTATGTGTACAATCTGAGCGGTGATGTTTACTGATGCTTGTGCCAGGCAAACTAGCAGCTGCTTTAAAGTTGCTTTAAAAAGTTAACCCAAATGGAGTGTTGTTTTGAGTTCTGTTTAATTATTTCTGATTTTTATAATTATTCTCATATATGAAATTAACTTTTTCAGTCTAATGATGAAAGCCATGTTAAGTGATCTCTTGATGTCTGTGATAACTGGAAAAATTTGAAACTGGTGACTAGATCCATTGCTAGACTTTTCTCTCTGTGCCTCATCTCCGTCACATCCATCCATATCTGGCAGGGGGCTAATATGGAAACTTCACCATCCCCTGTAGTCTTCTTAGGACCTCCACACCCCTCCCCTACTACCATCCCATTGTTTGTAGAATTTGGTCCAGCTCCTCCTCGTGGGATTCGCATTCTCCTGTGAAATTGCTCCTCTTCCCACATCTGACAGGATAGAGGGACTGAGTGACTTGACTTCCAGTTATCTGGCAGGTAAGCCCGCTGTTTCGTGCCTGTGAGCTGTTAGGTTTACTCTCTCCTGGCTTCTCTTCTTTGCATAGGGAACTTTACCTTCAAGATTTAGGTAAAGGTTCTGCTCTGGGAAGCTTTGCATACACAGCAAGTGGCATGCAGGAGGGACAGCAGCCTCCTTTGCCTTTCGGCTGGGTGCCCATGTACAGGGCACAGCTGCACAATCGTGTGCCTTTCTGACTGGCAGGATGGAACATTCTATCCTGTGCGCTTGCACAATCTCTTGCTCTTGCCTCTTTCACAGCACCTGTCACTCTGATCACTGTTTCCTTTCCTTGACCGTGAGCTCTGAGCCATCAGGAACCCACTCATAACTCATCTTGTGCCTCTGACTCCTTCTTGGGTTTCCGAGGCAGTATCTCTACAGAAGTAGATTGTCCAGTCTTCCTTCTGAGGAGTGGTTGGTGTGTTTGAACTGCTAGCCTTCTGGTTAGCAGTCATATGCCTTAGGCACTACACCACGAGAATTCCTGTAGACATTATAGGCATGGAATAAGTGTTAAACATATGTTGGTGGAGTGGAGTTCAGGTTCCCATGTGGAAGTTGGGAATGCAGGTTTTTTAGTTTTTTTTTTTCTTCTGGAGATGCTATATCTTCCTCTTCTAGTTTTCCAAAGATGCAAATATAAGTTTATGGAGTCCACTTAGGGATTAAGTATTTATAAACTTTTTTCCCTGATAATTTATGTTGTTGTTGTTGTTATGTGCCGTCGAGTCAAACCCAACTCATAGCAACCCCTCCTTGGGTTTCCGAGGCAGTATCACTACGGAAGTAGGATTGCCCAACCTTCCTTCCGAGGAGTGGCTGGTGGGTTTGAACCATCAGCCGTCTGGTTAGTAGGCAAGTGTCTTAGCCACTATGCTACCAGAGCTCCTTGATAATTTATAGCATTCCCATATTGCTTGAGTGAAATACGGTTTCAGTGTAACTAAATGAACATTTAAAATTTTCAGAAATTTTAGGTAAGACATTTTCTGTTGATAAGATGAAGCAGAAATAATACTTTTTAGATATCTACCAACTTTCTTGTTACTTCATATGTGGGTTATTGCCTTCTTTTTTCATTCTTACTAACAAAATCTGTGCTTAAATTTGATTTATATGGTGTTTACATGTGAGCCAAAGAGTTAAATTGGAAGGATTAAAATATAATAGTTTCATGACTTTAAAATATTCTGGTGTTAGTTTGTTGACTAATATGGTTATATTCTTTTTTTGGAAAAATGTCAGAATTCTTTACCACTTGTTTCAAATACTTTGTCTTGTTTTGGATGGTCTGACACGTTCTCCACTGTTTTCCTTAAGTGTGTTTATAGCACAGTAGCACCCTTTTTCTTATCCTTAGTGTGTTTCCCTAGCCGGTCACATCCTGTGTCTTGTGTTGCTGTTTGTTGTGAATGCTTCCGCTCATGTTTGAGTGCTGGAGAGCTCCCTGCATCTCGCTGCACTGCTGCACACTCAAGGCCTGTTCCTCCTTCCATCCTGTTGTTGTTGATGGGTACTGTCGAGTCAGTTTTTGACTCATAGTGACCCAGTGTGACAAGTAGGCCTGGTTTTCTAGGCTGGAATCTCCATGGGAGCAGATGGTCCTAACAGGTTAATTTGTGAGTATTAACACAGTCAGAATTAGACTTTCTGAGTTGTCCCTCTTCAGTCTTCAGTCACATCCTGGCCTGTCAGAGCACACTTGGCTTTTCTTGCCTCTGCTTCCTCCAGACCCTTCCTTGGCATTCATGAACTCTGTTGCTTTCTCCTAAGGTTCATGTCAACTTTCACCTCACAAGCAGTTATTTTGTAAAATTTGATTTTTTGAATAGGTGATACATTCATGTTACTTTAAAATTTGAAAGTGTAAAAAGGTATGTGGTGAAATCTCTCCTTGGTCCCCATTCACTAGCTTTCCTCCTCTGCCAAAATATGTGACCTCTGCTGTTAAATTTCTTGTTGTTTTGGTTACCTAGTGCCGCTCTAACAGAAAATACCACAAATGAGTGACTTTAACAAACAGGAGTTTATTCTGTTAACAGTCTTGGAGGCTAGAAGTCCGAGTTCAAAGTGCCAGGCCCTAGGGGCTGGATGAAAGCCCCTTGACCTTGGGCTTCAGCTCTCCCTCTTGCTCCTGGCCCACTGAAACTGGAGGCTTTCTTCACTCAGGCAGCTGCTGGCTGCTGAGGCTGACAGACTGAAGGTTGACAGGTAAAAAGGCACAGTTCCGATGCTACCAAAGCACACAGCAGGCTGTTGATTCAAGTCCATTAAGAGTCCCAAGATTGGAAGACAACATGACAGGCTGCTGTATAACTGAATAATGACTTGGCTCTATGCAGGATGCAGGCATGCCAGAAGTTACACACCATTCTTAAAGCTTCTTATATACTAGAAGCAGACCACAGCCCTAAGGCAGCTACTGAGCTGCTCACAGTAGATTCCACCATGGAGTTGACTAACAGTCTCATTATGGGGAATACTATATCCAGATGCCCAGCCACATTGACGCAT